TATTCATTCAATTGAGGTTTTTGGATATTCGTATAAAAGATATTGTTAAAATTTATGCCGATCCAATTGGCGTGTTTAGAGATTGAAATGAATAAATAAATGTTAAATGGATAAAAATAGGAGATTAGAATAGATGATTAGGCAAAAACATACGAACTCAACTAATGATAGCAGTCATCCAACAAAACAACCAATATCATCAACAGCAAGCAAATGCAATAGCTTTAAGACTACTAGTGATGAATGGTTTAGTGTCGATAATCACAGCGTGATATATGTCGCTTGGCATTACATTTCGGTTTATGCATAGGCTCTAATCATCTATTTGTTCAATATTTATTGGAAGAATCTCAGCGTTGGTGTGAAACAACCATCAACTTACTCATTAGATACCTCAACACCCATAGGAAAGAACCATCCGTTTGTTTTATAAATATCGCACCGTCGACATGATACTATTGTTTAATACCAATACCACTTGTTTTGGAGACATCGCATCATCTACTTGTTTAATAGATACCTTTACCCCGCCATGAGCCTCAGCCCAATCAGGCACCTATATGTAATCCTCCCTAATTATCGTCATCTTGGTGAAAATAATGCTGAGAATCACAATCAATTGCAACTAATTTAGTGACAATTCATCTATGTTCTCTACACAACATTTTACCTACTCGAAAAAACTCATAAATGATCCATAATGGTATTTCCTCGCATTGTGTAATGAACTAATTCACAGTTAATATTTGCATTAGATATGAAAATTTTATCATTTATTTATTCAATCAATCACATTTATTAACTGATTATTATCAGTAATCACCATTATCACCAAATAGAAAAAACACACGTTATCTTCTAGCGTTCAGCACAATCGAACTAATTACATACGATAATAATAAATTAATATCAATTATATGAATAATAATAACAATAATACAAATAAAAATAATAGTAATAACAATAATAGCAATATTAATAATATAACAATAATAAAAATAATAGTAATGATAATAATGAATAAATGATGTAATAAAAAACAAACAAACCCACAGCACATTACACATCTACTGTAACACACTGCTTTTCTTCCGCCGTCTGGTTCAATCTGGCTGATGAAAACATTCTTACGAAAGCACACATAAATGACAATAATAACATCGATAATAACGACAACAATAATATTAATAATCGCAATATTAATAATACATGTACGTTAAGGATGCACGTTCCAAAAAACGTACGATTACATGCACACATATGTAGATGGATATAAGATCCTAATATAATATACATGACGAATTCTAAAATAAAATCTTAAATCGAAATTATTCTCAATTAAGTTGAGCTACATATCCTTTCTAATAAGTATCAACATATATATTAAATTCGATCACTCTTTAAAAACTCGCATAAATATATGCATATAAACAGATTCAATAAAACACTCGAATATCCACATTCAAATGTACCAATAATAACTAATAATAATAATAAGGTGCAACCCCATAGTTCAGGCCAATGAAAAAGGTCTGTCACCTAGCACACAGGCAATATTCGTCACCCCGCGCTAAATACTTGTTGTCCAAAAAGCAGTTGTGAATACTTTTAGAGAACTGTCATGATCAGTGCACTGGATGAAGCGTTTCGTATGCATATGTTTGATAGAGCCTAGCAGACCCACCCTTTCATTCAAGTGAACTACAAAATTATCGCATTTATATTAATTGTAAATACAAACATTAAAAGTAATAACAATAGTACCAAAATTCTGAATCACCCCAAGACATGATAAGTATAAGTACGACAAATGACGACGAAACTAATTTCACATTAACGAACGACGTCAACGAACATTAACGAAAAATCACGAACAGTAAAACAACTGCAACAATTTCAAAAATTCATTTACAATTACGACTGGCTAATATTTATATAATAATAATAATAATAATAATAATAATAACGATAATGATAATAATAATAATAATATTAATATTAATAATCATAATATTAATAATCATAATAACAATAATAAAACAGCAATAATCATAATGATGTATTAGAAATTATGAATTCAATAGATATTCGTAACTTGTGACAGTAACAATAAGAAAATAACGACAAAAGAGCAAAACAAAGAGCAAAAAAACAGCCCGTAGACGTTTTTGTAGTTGAAATAAAAGCAGCGCGAATGCATACGAACAGTAAATAAACGATAGGGTGAGTTGTCGATCAGTGAGTTCATACATATAAATAATCACTCAATCCAAACTGCGATCAATCAACGAAAACAGAACAAACCAAACCCATATCACTTAACGGATGAATTGAATTTCAACTTAAAGATGTTCACTGAGATTATACGTGGAAAACAGTGGAAAATTAGATGAATGCGGTAATTTTGGTGTATTCGGTGATTGTAACGGTAATAAGAAATCATGCTCGTCGAAGCGTGTCTGATGCAGTTGTGGCTCGGACACTGAACGCTTCAATCGAGGCAAATCTGCTGACGCTCTCTCCAAATACGTCAGCACCTACAAATGTGACATTTCTCCTCATGATTATGGAGTACTGTCAAACAAATAAATAAACAAAAAATTTTCAACCTGTTCAAACTCAGGTCGGTCTTCTCTCGTAAACTTAATACAACGTTCCAAAAGAGTATGCAATAATTTTGGCGTATCACGTCGTACCTTCGTTAAATCTGGCTTCAAATAGCCTCGTCCAACCATGAACAATATCTAAATCATAAACCAACTTCAAAGGCAAGCAACAATACGTATTAGCAAATGGCTGCCTGCAAATGAACCGATCCAATCACATCAATGCAACAAAACAATGAAAAACACCCACCTGATCTCTACTATTAATATGCGTATAGGGAAGTGTTCCAGTTAACAATTCATATAAACAAATTCCAAATGAATATACATCTGACAGAGTTGTATACGGATTTGCATCTTGCATACGAATCACTTCTGGTGCCTTAAGCAGTCATCATCTTGTTCATTGTTTATTAAAGTTCAAGGAATAAACGAATATAAACAACAAATAATAAACAATACCATCCAGAGGATACTACCAGTCGGCTGCAGACTTTGGTGACTTCCACTCCATCGAGTTTTTACGGTTGCCAAACCAAAATCACCAATTTTCACTGTACCGTCTTCAGTCAAGAATATATTATTGGTTTTCAAGTCGCTTAAATTCGAAACATAATCAATAAGGAATGAACAGAAACAGAGATGACCGATGATTAAACCATTAGTGCAAATTGAACATTTCTAATCCCAATAAAGAAGATGAGTTTTCTGCTACATATTGACTGCATTTCTGTCAGCAAGACTGCCATTTTACAAACAGAACAAGTCTTCATCTACTTTTTTTGGTCATGTCAGCATTTTGAGTGATTGCTTTCAAGAAGCAGAGTTCAAGTAGTTTTATCATGACACAAATAATTAAGTGCATTACAGCTTTAGGCTGTGAATCCTTTAATTACACTTTACGACCTCACCAACGCAATGTTTGGGCATCACCACTAACTCAAAACTTTGTTGCCAATTATCAATAAGTCAATGAATCAGATGAACAAGAATCAACAATCAAACAAAAATATACCGATGAATAATATGACGCGAATGTAAATAATTCATGCCTTGTGCAATCTGCTTACAAATGTCGATAATTGAAGAAATTTCGAAATCTATGCGTGGCTCAATCACATGAATATGACGATAAAGCGATGATCCTTCGCACCACTTAAATAAAATCTATCCATTAGGAGTATCAGATCATGATGACAATAACGGTAATGATCAACAATCTCCATTCACCGTTAAAGAGAATGAAAAAGCAAACCAACTATACAAAATTCATCTCGTTCCTAGTCAATATGATGTGGGTAAAACAAACCTGAGTAACAATAGCCAGATCAGGTTCACGCATCCAACCCATAAACAATAGCACATTCGCATGTCGAGTCTTTTTCAGTACGGCCACCTCGTTCTTGAAAGCTTGTAACTGCGCTGGACTTGGCTCACCAACGTTCAACTTTTTTATCGCCACTTTGCCTTTAAACTCAACAATAAAGATGATAAAACTACACGGTCCTTATGTGACTATTCTCGTTTTTCTTCATAAATAACAAAACATAAACTTCAAAAAACCAACATAAGCAATTATTTGACAACTGATGGATGAAAAAAAGAAATTAGTAAAGATAAGAACAGACCAAAATAACTTCCACCATAAACAGTTCCAAATGAGCCACTACCAATCTTCTTATTGTACGTCACTAATGAACTGTCTATTTCCCAATCTTCCACAGACATTCGTTGCTTGATCTTCTCTTTACAATCCATCTGCAAAACGGTGACGCAATTAAAATTCACAAAATTTGAACTGAATTAATTGAGCTCTGAAAAATGAAAGAAACGACAAAGAGATAACAAACAAACGTCATGAGTATCACCAAGGCGATCTGACGATTTTGATGAACGCGTCGTTGAACCACGTAAGATTTGTTTATCACTTGGACCTAGAATTGCTACTTGAACAATCAGCGAGAAAAACATTCAAAACTTTCATTACAAACAATTCGAAAAAATATTCAATGGGGAAACTATATAGGCAAGTAAACTTGAATACGTAGAGAAAAAAGTTATAAAATTTGGGATGAAATAGATGAGCGTAATACCAACATATGGGAAAGATATATTGGATGAAGAAGACAGATGATTTCCAACGCTATTATCGTTAGCTGCGCGGAAAGAAGAATGCCAAGGAAGGATGAATGTGATATTAGTGATATTGGAAATAACAGAGAGGCATAAACTCGTAATGAGTTCAATTGCTGATTAAATAAATAAATATTGGATGAAGGTGGTTATAAATAATTAACTGAGAGATCAGGTGAGCATTATGTCCATCCAACGAAACAATAATAACGTAAAAACGCTAAGAAACGAAATGAAATTTGAGAGCTAGAAAAACAATGGTATAAAAAACAAAAAACGAATGTACTCAAAACAAACTTTTGCTACGAAATCGCGGGAACCCGATTGATTTTTGTGGTGGTGCCGACTGTGGCGGTGTAGGTGGTAAGGCGCTTGGTCGGTCGGCTAGCGTTGCACCCAAACCAGAATACATTCCCACTGCCAGTCCCCCTCCTCCTCCGGTTGCACCTCCTGATATCGCTCCAACAGCACCAAATCCAGTTGACGACGAAGTGGTGACGAGTGGCGGCGATGAGCTTGTGGATGTTGGAGAACTTGTGACGAAAAATGATGTGTTTAGATTTGTGGTGCTATTATTGGTGATTGGATTTACTGGCATTGCGAACGGTTGTAGACGATTGGTGGAACGTCGAAATGCACACGTGTGCCAATCACGCTGAGTGGTGGTGGGTTGCGGCTGCGCGAAGTGACGAAGCTGTTTGTGTTGATGTTGTGTTGTTGTAGAAGATGGAGACTGAATTCGATTCGATGCACCTAATGATGACTGCGATGAAGAAACGAGATGAGTAGTCGATGGTGCAAACGTAATTCCTTCTATATTCAATAATCATATTTGCATCAATATCATAATTCAACAACTTAAGTTATGAATCAATAAACGACACCAACTTACCAGATGATGGCGTCGATGCGTGTGTATTTGATGATGATAAAACATCAATTACTTTCTAAAAATTATCATTACCATTATTTGTTCATCTGCCAAAATTATAGATTAATGTTTACTTCATTTCGTATGTTTCGCAACTTTATTCTCCTTCCTGTTCTGATCGAATCACTGTGATCATTAACGAATCACGAACAGCAATACAATACCAACAATAGAAAACACATATCATACTAAGAAAAAAAATGAATTTGGATCTTAATACCAATACAAATAATAATGATACGTAACCGCTTCCAATGAAGAATCGTCTTTAGTGATTTCATAAATGTTAGGCGCAGATGAGGATCGATCTCTTGAGGACTCGCTTATAGCCATTGGAACGGCATCGTTTCTCACTGGTAATCTGATCGCTTGCTGCCGTGTAATACCGCTCGTTTGACGACTTGAACTTGCTTCTTCAATTTTATTTAATCCAGTACAATAACAGATGAACTAATTAAGAATAATGATGAACCTTAGTAAATTAACCTTACCAGCATTCGGACTTTGAAAATGCTCTATGATTTCGGCAACAAGTGCTGCATTCGGTCCACCGTGTTGCACGCAAAAATCACGCAATTTATTGGCCATATGAACGTCGTGCGGTATTTGTTGCATACGATCACAATAATTTGGCACTTTTGAGCCACATTTTTGATGAAATTTGAATTGGCACAACTCACATCGATAACCCTGCATAACTTACAACAATAATGAAACAACGAACAACCAATAAACGAAACAATCAACTAACCAACTATAATTAAATTAAACAAATAGATTAATATAAACCTGTAACCAAATTTGTTTACGACAAACATCACAAAATGCAACCGTTAAAAATGTTTTCCGAACAAAACTGTGCTGAATTGAGACAAGTATCGATAAATATGCACTATGCACCCATAATTCTTTCTCTTCTAGTAACTAAAAACAGCATCATTAAACTTAGATCATCATTATTATTATTAGTAATAACAAGAGTACTGATGTACGTATCAGTACTATTATAAACGATTAAACACTACTATTCAATAAACACTAATAAAATGCAAATGACCAAGAGAACAAATAATAAATGAATAACGAACGCTATTCAATCGCTCCAAATCCATACCCAAATCAATGCGAGGACTTGATGGATCTGCACCTATGCAAACATTACACATTTGCGGTAATATAGCACGTTTCTCGAGTATTTTCGCGATCGCATCGCGTACTAATACACCTGGTTTTACTTCTAACTGAAACAATTAGCTAGCGTTCGGTTAGTTGTCTCTGACTAGAATCGAAAAGAGAAGAATACATCTAAACTGAAATTGAAATCACATTTATCGACATAACCGACAAACCTTAGAATGTTGATTGAATGGTAAATGTAATAAAATCAGGGAATTATTGAGGCGTTTTGGTGATGTGCACGGAGGTGAGCTGCCTCGACTTCTCACACCATAAGCATCCTTAAAAATGACTCTTATCGTGATCAAACAGTACTATTGGTCATCGCAGTCAGTCATCAAGATTCCAGCAGCCTGAACGACACGACCATCTACCAGAATTCGGAAGACATCACAAACCTATTTCCCCTCAAAATCCTTCACAGTTCCATCAACACCGCCACGACGTATTATACAAGCCCTCTCTATATACAATCCCTTAACTCAGCCATTAATGCATCTTTATTTATATAACCCCGCAACATGTAAACCTATTAAACCCCTATTACCTTCACTCATATTTTTTCTTTATATCACTCATATTCATCACATTGTTCTTCTTGCTTTCTATTTTCTATTTCCTATTTTCATATCAATTATTTTCCCAACCATTTTTACTTGTTAACTTTAGTAGAGTTGTTCCCAAGCACACATTCATATACCGTTTACAGCCTCCATCATGATTGCTAATAAATTGTTGTTTTCAAAATTAGATTATCCTTAACATAATCTTCAACATTGATATACTATATCTTACTCCTAAACTCATTGTTAATCTGATCTCTCTTTCCACTCTCAATTCTTATTTATATCGCTGTCGATCTCGTGAACCGATTAGTCTTTCCTGATGATGAACGTTTTAAATCAATAAATAACTTGCGCTGATGTGTTTTTCCTGTCAAAAACAGTTCTACTTGCATATCAGTATCTTCCAAAACACCATGCACCTCCATCGGTAATTATATAGTTTAGGCAGCAAAGTTCTTAATCCCTCTCGATGACTGAGACACCAGCAACATAAACAACATAATTCCCTTCATAAAAAACAATAAATAAATGAATACATACACTGCCACCAGGAACTGGTGATGATGGACTTAAGAGCGGTGAATGTGATGACTGTCCAATCGTGAACGTTGACGACGACGATCCTTCTAATGCTTCACCGGCTAACGAGGACATCTTTCAACTCTTAAATCATTTCCATTCACTTCACCCCTTACAAAATATCTCCAAATCTCAACACATAATCAATCACTAGCAGAATGCTCCAGTTGATTTATTCCACCAGAATTGATACTGCTGGCGGATAATGTTTTCAAATAAACCGATGAAACGCAAATATTTTCATTTGCTTATTCCCTGAAGAGACATTTAAATGATCTATACGGATGTCAAGTGCAAACATCTACACCTAAGGTATCCTGAAACAACCCTGCCTTCCCCACACACATAGTTTCTCCTAGAATTAATGAATTAATTAATTTGTGACGTTCTCAAGAATATGCTTCAGGAGGATTTTGAAGAGATGGGATACTTTGCCAAAACTAGTTGGCGAATTAAGCAGGAAAACTGAAATTGAATTTACAATCGGTCCGCCTCTTGGCTTTTCCTACTAATGTCCGTTGCGAATTCGTTTCCAGAGAACGTGAATCTAGGTTGATGGGGGAGGGGAAATGGGGAGAACGAGGAGATGAGATAGTTAAGTGTTTTTTCTGGAAGGGGATATGATTCCTCGTGGGATTCGTGTTAATTTCGTTTTTCTTGATCACGTGGTGCGGGCCGCTAAATTCTTGACTATCGAATCGATCGGTTGTTTTTGAGGGTTGATCGAGACCGTCACTTCAGTTTCACTCGGAAAGTTATACGGATAGATGTGTTGCGGTGGAGGAACGTTTTATCAACGATGGATGGACTCAAGAACTTTTCAAAAACCCACATTAGCAGACCTCTATATGTGCTTTTTGGATTATTTTGTTCAACGCAGTCTTGGTAAAGTGAGTTGATGTTTTTTTGCTTCTCCATTTCGTCCGTGGAAGGTGTTCGTTCATATTTGATTTCATTCTCATTCCAGGCGTTATGTTTCCTCTTTTACGGACTGTTGTTGGTTGTGATTGCTTCAGAATATTTAATCATTTTACCGTATGAAAACTATATGCGACCGTCATTTCTAATACCAATTTATTACGTTACGGGTCTTTATCTAATCATTAACATATTGTATCATTATTGGAAAGTTTGTACGGTGGATCCGGGCAAACCTGAATCAGTGAGTTATACGTATCTTTTTCGTGCACTTGATTACTTTCAACTCTTATCCGTTTATTTCATTTTTTTGATGTTCGCTTTAAATGAATGAGTTATTGCCTCTTTATAAAGTGATAAATGAACAGAGTGATTTGTGGCCTCGATGCCATCGATGTGAGAATTACAAGCCGAAACGAGCGCATCATTGTGCCATCTGTAATCGATGTGTATTATTTATGGATCATCACTGTATTTGGATAAATCAGTGTGTTGGGCTATATAACCATCGATATTTCTTACAGTTCATCTTATTTGTTTGGTTCAGTCAATTATTGATACTCTTCAGTAATTATAACACTTTCTTTGAGCATCTGTCCACAATTCATGTTAGTTGTTGTTTATTACTTATCAATTTATTGGTTTGATCAATATTTTGCATAAGCTATGGATTTGAAGAATCCTCAAATGGTACCGTTCTGTGTGCAGCCAATAGAGATGGTACCATGGCGTAAGTGGATGTGCGAGAATATGGCTGATTTCGTGAATGGGTGTGTTTGCTTTGATTATGGCCTAGCCATTTTGCTGGTTCTGGTATTGGGTGGCCTAGCCGCCTTCAACATTTACATGATCTCGATTGGAGAAACACTCATCGATTACTTGGTTAGCGTACAGCTCTACATTTTTTTACTATTAATGAGCATAACAATACAAATACTCGTATATAACGAAAGTATTAATAATACCTGTACGAATGTTATATTGCAGCAAGACGCAGATGAACGACGTTCGCAACGTAACTGGCGTTCAAGTAACGATATTGGTTTAAAACTGAATTGGTTGCGATTTTTAGGTCTCAAGAAGGGACGTTCATTTTGGCGTTATATTCTTCTGCCGTCATCGCATAAGCCACTGTTTGAGTACTATTCAAGTTATTTGCGACATGATCCAACGCATATTGTTTAGGTCAGTATCATCAACCAAATGAAAGATTTGAGTTCACAATGTCACAGTGATGAGTTGGTGTTATGATTATGCTTATCACTAGCGTTGTCATTATGGTAATGAATTGAAAAGTGCTACCAAAATATGATGATGAGGAAAGAGAATGAATGAAACAGGACAGACATGTTGTTATTGTGTTTGGTGGTAACGACTGAAACGTGCAAAAGTAGTGTTTTATGTAAAGTATTATTGATATTGTTTGCTTTATGCAGTAAAAATAGAAACAAGCATAACATTTTCATAATAGGGTATGCATTTGAGTGATGTTTTGTAAATATAAGAATGAATAAATGAATATCCGTTTTGGTTGCATATGCGCAAATCACCTTCGAAAAGCAATTATCTAACTGAACTGATAGCTGTGCACATGTAGTATGGTATAGAAATGAAATGTTTTCAGAGAATGATACCAATAAATATAAATGTAAAATTACGTCAAGACACTCCGAGCTCGAGCTGGATACGATGGTAATAAAAATATGTACTTTTATTATCACCAAAACGTCATCATCATATTAATCTTGCGCATATGTTCGAACCGTTTTGTCATTGGTTGGTGAAATGCTATAGCATTAAGGGCTGGGGTATCACAACTACTCTACTTCATACGTTTATTATTCTATAGGCACAATTCGAAGATGCAAACAACAAGAAATAATATATACATACGATTAGTTCTAGAAAACACGATGACTAATGCGATGCTTAGTTTATGTAAATGAGAAAGACGGATCTATGAGTGGTGAATATGAACATTAAATTTATGATGAAAAAGGAATGCTGGATGAGTGGTAAGAAGTAATCAAAAGTTTCATGTCACTTAATCATATAACATTCCGACGAAGATTCAGCTGACTGTCAATGTAAATTAAGCGTTTACAATCCATGTGGCAGTAAATTTTGTTGGTGCATGTTCATTGATAAATTTGAAGCTGAAACGAAACAACAGTGGGGATGAACCACTGTTTCGTTGATATTCGATTAATGAGGGACGAAGATCAAATTCGGTACGAACTAATATCATGGCAAAATTGCGTTTTGAGAATGAGGTATTCATGCAGACAGAATATTGATGAAATATATTTTTGAAGAAATTCACATAGGTGGTCGAGATGTGTGGTAAATTGACTGTTTAATTAGTTGATCGATAGATTTGTTGAGTGGCTCATGATAATGAGTTTGAAAGGAAGACAGAAAGAATGAATGGAGCAAAAAGAAGATTAACTGGAAGCCTTTTCATGATCATTTGCCACTCCTGAATGGTCGATCGTTTTTGCTCCAGAACTCGTCGAGACTGATCGCTGAAACGTTATCGAGTACAGCCACTCGTGGACGTTCGAAGAACTGATTGCGTCGAATGCGCATCATCAATTTATCGTCAGCAGTACGTGATGTCGCATGCTGATGATAATGATGATTATCATTACGAGTCGTCGTGGCAGTTGTTTCACCAATCAACGTTGGTAATGTTGATGCATGATTCGCACCTCTCGTATCTGTCCATCTATCCATCTTGACCGTTGTTGGTGTTGTAGTTGCCGTGATGCTCTTATCAGTGCCTAACGCATTTATTCCCATCATTCCATCTTCATTAAATGACATTTGTTGCGCTATTTGACAAGAAGGCATCATTTGTTGTTGTTGTTGCTGCTGTTGCTTATCAAGCGACAAATCTCCTTGTTGAAACGAAGTATTCGTCTCATAGTTTGGTACCCTAAAAGTTCACATTTTGTTTCTCGTCATTCTTTCATACACAAACGAAACAGTTCCAATTGAACTGAACGAATACCTGATCGATGCATCGTTTGAATGTGCAACAAGAGATGAAGTGAACGCAGTGGTAGGAACGAGGTTGACGTTACCAACTGCAGTGTGATGTGATGGTTGCGGTGGAGAAACATTTGCATCCACACCACTCACCAGTCGCTGATTTGCATCCATACTGCCAACTCGTGAAGTTGAACGTTTCTCTTTACATTTATAATAGCACAAGTACAATATTAATAGCACCAATAAAAGCACCACCAAAACAAACAACCAAATTGTAAAATTGAACGGTGATGCCTTTAAGCCACGACGTATCGCTGTACTTGTAGGTGGTGGATACGCTATCGTACTGCCATCTATAAAACATTCGTTTTCAGTTTTTCTTTTTCTCACTCGATCACCCATTTGGGCTTATACCGTAGTCGAATCGCCCCTACTCCTTCCTCAGTTGTAAAAATATTCATTTTGGCCGCTCTCAAAGCACGGAATAAAATTTGGCGACATAATTCTAAGATGTTCATTTTGTTCCACCAATATCACTATCTCCATTCACCGCTTTCGTCCACCAGTCGGTGATATGATCCAGGTTGCGATGCAATGATCGTTTCAGACAAACAATATATAACAACCACTTTTAGGCCTTAATTTTCAAATTCACTCTCAAAACTGATTCATTAAACTGATTCAAAAATTTTCTTATTTTTCATCCCCGTCAGTTTCATCAAAATATCAACGAAATTTTTCGTATGGTACACATTAAAATCAGTCTTACCAGCTTTTCGTTTGCAAATATATTCACGTTTATCACGACAGTCATCTAATGCGTACGCAACTGCCTCGCTCTTCAATTTCCAATCCACATAAACACAATCTTCAAATGTATGTTCGTTGCCGAAGTTCGGAAGACTGAAAACCAAAATAAAAACGTTCTTTTAATGACGATTGGATTCGATTTACAAAGTAATTTTTGTCAGATGAATACAAAACGAACCTTTCTAAAAGAAAATAATACTTCTCAATTAACTCACTCTTCCGGCCAAAAACTTTCACTAGGGTCAACTGATGTGAAAACACCCTCGTCGACAGCATCCGAATAACCAATCCATGGCGTTATCGATGCATTTTTTGAATAAAGTCCTCAAATTAAAAAATAATATCAACAAACAACAACAATAAATGCGAAATGATCGCACATCGTCATTCCATATCCATATCGCGCTTTTAACGCTTTGAATATTCATTGCTGAAGTACAGATAGATTCAGCAAATTCTAAAACGATTCTTAAAATGATTCAATCCCTATACTCATTCTCTTCTCGTTCAAAAATAATTTAGTAGCAGCCATTGATAGTGTTCTATTATAGTTGATCATTCAAGCGTAACAATTCGTTGAAACCCTTTATTCATGTTTCGTTTCAACGCCTTCGTTTCTTCCTACTTTCCTTTCAGTCCAATTTACTTTAAAGAAATGCTCCTTGATTATCCATCCATTCATCCATCCATCTATTTTTCCAACAATCTATTTAAAAAGTGATTGCAGAAGTTGCATATAAAGCTGAAATATAACGGAAACACACCGGCAAATGACTGATATTCTTTTGCGGAATCAAACGTAAGTAGATTGCTTCGTGCCAACTGGCAATCATTTTGTGCATCTGACCATGTTCGATGATTCGATCGTAATGAATAACAATAATCAGCATCATTATTCACTGTTGTAATCGTTTGCCAATTCGACGGACATCCGGGTAGTTCTAAAATACGAATTCGAAAACGCGTTCATTTACACATCACATACATACTTCACATCACACAAATATTGCACACATACAAATAGTGTTCGTCGGGAAGCAGTTTTTCGCGCGGGGGGGTTTCCCCGCTGGGAGAAAATTGGACGGGGGGGTGGGGGGTCCCCGCAAAAAGTCAGGGAGCAAATTGCGCGAAGGAGGAGCGCTCTCCGTCGGAGTCCCTGACGAACACTACATACAACACTACATACGCTCATCTGTCTCTATAATCACATTAGAGAAAAAATTTATGAAGATGGATAATTCCATTTTGCATTAATCTTTCTAAGCACCTGGAAAGGTGGTTGATAAGAAATGAAGATTGTACTCATAGCTGTGATAACGAGTAGGAATATACTCATAATGAGTTATTATAATTGCCATTTAAATGATTCATTAAATGAATAAATATCAGTTTGATTGGCTTGCTATCCAACTTAACATGTCCTATATCCGGTTCCAGCAATTACTGTTCCTATCTCTTCATCATATCTCTCCGAGTACTTCTTGCCTCGTTCTATGAAATCTATTAGTGTGTCATCTCTAAATTCATCATCAACCTCCTGATCTCATTACTAGTTTTCACAAAATATACTGAACACTTTAAACGTTTACGAATGTACAATAATATAACATGAGACTAATGGCAACAATGATGGGAAAATAGCACCGCTGTAAACATTAACAAAAAACAATGAGCAGTAATGAATTGTAATATTATGGAATTATGAAGATGATCGATCTGTTACTTATTTGTTGGATTTGTTGCATTCACACATAAATACATATGCACCACATTAGCGGGCTGAATTCAATGTCACAAATCTGAATAAACGAAAGTTATGACAAATCCGGCAAACAATCTGGAGTAGTGTTCGTGTTTCACTTTCATCCGTTCGTATTCATGCGAAAAAAAACTAAACAATAGTTTTTTTCAAGCAAAAAACATCCTATTTTTTTAAATTCCTCCCCTGAGTTTTTAAAATTCTTTCTCTGATTAGCCTATACAATTAGCAGCTGGCAGCAAGCCGTATTATTCAAGCGTGTTGTTGTTTGAATCGATGCTGATCACCAGCTGGTACCAAGTAACTACTTCCGACAATGTCAATCACCACCATTCAATCAGCCAACTCACCTACCTCTGAAATTCGTCTCAGCTTCTCCCGCTACCCCACTTATTTTAATGTTACATTTTAATAATTCTTTCATGCATCACTCAATTTTATATGTTAGAAATGTAAAAAATCAATACACTATTATTCAGTAATACTACGTATCTGATATAAATGCGCGGCATGTACAATGAATAGAATCAGCCGAATGAATTGCAGATGAAGCAAGTAGTGAGAGGGGATAAAAGAGTGCGATTTGATAGTAGGCATAACCGATATTTGGTGAACATTTGCATGTAAGCAGGTAAAACAATGCAAAGAAAATTTCGATGAATTCGATCATAACTCGATGGCTTTAACATCAGCATCAACAAAAATATAATAAATTTGCCATTAATAGAAAATTGCCGTAAAGAAAGTTGGACAATTCTAACTAAAATATAATTTTTTACTGATTATCGTCAGCTTCGAACGATATCCACCAAAAAACAATTAAATTATTCACAGTCAACTAATAAAGGAAAACAAAGCTGAACGCACCAAAATCAGTGAAAGACATATTGAAACCGCGAGCTTGAAATGAATCATCACTATGAAACGTCACAAACAAAGCATTCGAAGTGCTGATCACATCGAAACCAGATGAATTACCACACCAGCGTGCAATTTCGTTTGACGTATTCGTAGCACCTTCATAAGCAACAAATTACAGAATAATACTGATCATAATAATAACAGTAACGATAATAATAACAATAACAATAATGGTAATAATCGAACCATCTCGAACGGAGCAAAAATCATCGCACCGCGAGAACAGTGCATCGTCGATTCGTGAGTCGTGTACGGTTAGCACGATACGACGATTCGCACTTCTGGCCATCAGAATCCAATTACAGTCGATCGAATTTGGATACTGACCGCTATCATAACCTTGGCTGTACAAGAATTTTGGTTGTTGCTCAGCGTTCAATAAGATTGGATCACCTTCAAATAAACGAGCAATTTCAAACAAGAAACTGTCTTTCCTAATTAATTGGATGCTAATTACTTTTCTCAACTGATTAGACAACTGAAAACTGAAACTAATGATCACACTTCTTCAGAGATTGCTGTTTTTATTTTCGCCTGGTCACAATTGTTTTTGCCATCTGTATGTACACAATACACATAGCCATATAAAATTGATATCAATTAGAATCATACAACATTTCGGGATCGCAAAAAATTTATCATAGCGAACGGACAGAGCAAGATATGGCTATAAACGCAGCCTAAACGTTCTTTGCCTATATCCATAACCATTTCTCGATACTTCATAAGTGTAAGTTATCCTTTTGGTAATGATACAGAAAAGGATTTTAGTGAGAACAAGTGAACAAAAAAAAAGCCTCAAAGCCACACTTGAGCACTGCTGAGCGTGTGTGACTGTAACTGCGCTGACCAGTAACATGAAATACGTCGGCAACGACAGCAACCCACTTGTTGTCGTTTTGGTTGGTAATATTCGTCTTGACAATTTCTTGGTCATTCGTGATTCTTTCGTAACACTTTCTTCATTTCGTTTCCCATATTATACAGTTATTTAAGTACATATTATTACTAATAGTCATAGTATAATCATATAATTACTGCAAATTATTGGCTGTTCAATTTATACAACGTTCATCTAATGACAACAATAATGATGATGACAGAATGGAGATAATCCTTCGTTTCTTAATGAAGAAAGTAATAGCAGTAGGATGGTTTGATTGCTTCATTGTTGATTGGTGAGCAGATGACTAGCTGGACGTAGGCGATACTAATAAATGAATGGATAACGAATTACTATCAGTAATGGTTTGTGATTGTCAAATGATGATGATAATATGATATTGACAGTTGATAGAGGGTGGTTGAAGAACGGTTGGGTAGATGATGTGTTGAGGAAGGAAAAAAGGTAATTTTAACGGATAGATGGATGGATATTCAGATGGAAGGGGAGAAGTGAGTGTGTCAAATGAACGAGATCGATGTTGATGATGCTTTCTGCATGCGATGATCCAGTTTAAGGTGATCGCTCGCTGCAGTCCTTCTATGCATGTGGATATGTGTGTCCAGCAATGATCACCCAATGCGTTATGTTGCGTCCATAGCAACAAGCTTATACGATATGCTACAGCGATCAGCGATCTGCACACCGATCGACCAAATTAAGTGCTTACCTGCTCACCAAGCGCATAGCACCGCCTATCCTTTTGCTTCCTTTTCTTTATGCTTATTACTCACTTTCTTTTCTCTCGTAAGGTAAATCCTTTTGGTGCTAATGTCCCACAAATTAGCCAGCCGTCCAATTCGTCTTCCCTCCATTAGGCAAACGACAAAAACAGATGAATGTGAATCATGTAAAGAATGATCATTCGGTGAAGGGGTCAGCCATGATATGAATTTCCTGAACGAATGAAATTGACTGACAGCTGTTTACTTCGAGAGGTCGACATCAATCGCGTTGTTGCAACCAATATATGTCCACCACCGCAAATCAAGTTGCTTCAGCTCATCATTTGAATCATTCACATCTTTTCGTTCTCTAGTTGATATTTACTGACCTCATTTTCCAACAAAAATTATACAATTGAATCATCGACCATGTCGTTCTCAACTTGCCATCTAACACAAAAGGATAATCTAAGCAGAATGAAAAGACATTCATTTTATACAGTGATGAGTAGCTTAATTGCTGTGATCATGAGCATGTGTCAGTCACTTTTTAATAAAAGTTAACGAATTTGGAAAGGTAAAGATATTGTTTTGCATTGAGCAATGTTCGTAGTGTTTAGTTAATAATACTTAATTTCATTTCATAATCATCGTATGCGATTCATGCAACATAAATCGGACTGATGATGATTAATTGAAAGAAGCATTTAAAAGACGCGGTGAGGAATTATATGCATAGATGGATGGTAAATACCAACTGATATGCGATGAGGCAAAATCGATCAGCACTCACCGATGAAGAAAACCACTTTGTCGTCATCTGATTCATTTCCGTTCTATTAAGTGCATTCAGTGGAGAAATTATTTGAAAATTCCCTGATTTCTCTTAATGAATATATAGATTAGTGTTTGGAAGGAGTACCCCCGAGGAGGAGGGGGGGGGTGGCAAGGGAGAGCCTCCATCGACGATTTCTGGTGAATCATCCCTCCTGCGGGCGCACCCACGGGGAGGAAGGATTGGTCCAATTTCCGAACAATAATACAGACCCATCCGTGCATATGTACATTTACATTAAAGTGACTTTTTGTTCGAGTTTCAGAATTTGTAAATTGCCATTTCAAAAAAACTGTGCCTTTTGGTATAGAAATAACGCATGAAAAATTTTGCTACAAAAAATCGCTTAAAATGAGTCAAATCAATTTGTTTTTCGTCCAATCAACGAAAATGAATAAGATATGCAAGCAGTCAAATTGCTTCAGAGTCCGATACGGCATAAAAAAGAAATGGAGCTTCTTTAATGCGTACGAAATAAAACTGAATTTATTCAATTTAACAATCGGATCGTTCACTTCTTATAAAATCAGTGAAATTTTCAGGTTGACTTGAGGATAGATTGTTGACGTTTTTGTTGTTGCTGTTGTTGGCTGTGTTGATTACGTCGAACCGAACGCACCAAACTGATCGTGAAGACTATTTTTTCGCAAACGGCCGCAAAAAATGCGACACACAGACCGAATCCAAGCAAAACGAAAAGACCAGATACCTTCTCCATGCCCAACGAACTACGCTCCTCGACCGGCTCATCACATTCTCTGCAAATATTCTCTAACATTTATTCGGATTTATATTATCAGATCTACACAAAATTTTCGGACAGATTGGATCGAAATTTTTAAAATTTCATCACTCGACTCTATGTCCATATTTTCATTTATCAGACTAAGAATCACATCAAATAAGCGAACATTCGTTAGTTGTTGTAGAAAAGAGCATAATATTGTATGCAAAATAGTAATATCAATTTTAACGCCCTTACTCCATTTGAGGTGCCTTCTTCCACCACATGTTCTTTAACATCATAACAATACCTTTTTCATGGAAATCCAATATCTGACGCGTTAACTTTTCACGCCATCTTGAGCCTTCAAAACGATTTTTATTGTGATTTGAAAATTTTCAAAATTAATTCAGGTGTAAGAAAGAAACAACTAACAATGAACCTTTTGGTAGTGCGACACTATATCCATTAGAGCCAAGTACGACCGTTCCGACACGCGTTAAATTACAATTTTGCGTTAGCTGATATTCCAATGAAGCAGATTCCATCAAAAGTACATACCTGGAGATCGAAATACTTTTCTTTGGTTTATATGATATATCTATATGTAAATATGAGACTTTGTTTTTGATTTGATTTGACTTTTGATTGATTTGTTTAGACTTTGATTATTCGGTGACTTAATTAGTTGAAAAATTAGTTTGTCAAAATTTGAACGATATCGCCGTTGGTTGCGCTCGTTTCGATGTCCAAGAGAAAACTTGGAATTTGAAGATAATAAATAAGGAACTACGATCAAATAAACGAGCGATCACTTCTCATTCAAAACGCGTTGAACACCTTCACTGTTGGTCGTCACAAACACTGATGGTGTTATATTTTGCATTCGCGTCCAAATACGTTGAAATGTCTCCAAACGGGAATATTTAAAGAACTGCATCGTTGAACCACCCAGAATTGAGCCAAACGTATATTCTGTTTGATTGCCTAATTCTTCGAAAGACTAAAAGCGCGTCTGAGAACATCAACAAAGACAATCATTCTTTTGTAGGTTTCTTTCATAGCGATGGAAGGGATGATTCTTTGATCAATTCAAATTAAACATATCTGGATGACATTATAGCTCACGTTGAATGGCATTGATTTTCGATTAACGGTTAGCACAGCTGCGAAGTTGGCCGTATATTGAGCAATTAAAACAAGTGTGAAAGACCACCATACGGTGCTAATCAAACGATTCGAAATTGATTCACAGTTATAACCAGATCCAGCCCGTAGCAAAATGCAAACCAAATACCAAGCACTATTCTGTAAATTAGGCAGATTGAAAAAAAAGGCTTCAGAAGACGAGCAATTTTATCTCGCCTCGCAGTATTTCTCACTTACTACTTATGTGAATTCACCACTTTCAAATAGATACTTTTTAATAAACAAACGATGAAAGCAGAATAAAAACCGCCATATGCGACCATTATCAGACGTGCTCAAAGAATCGCTTATTTTTCAGGTATGAAAGATATGGACTTTAAGTATTATGAAGTGAGCAGTACGAAAAAGGTTTGTGATAATTTCGAGGGGTGAACACATTAGTGAACAATTGACCATGATATTGAATTCATGAGCAGATTCAGCTGGACTCAACAGTGAGACGATAATAACAGAGAGTGCAGTTCCAATGGTTGCAAATGCTGAATACATCCAAACCGAACCACTTAATGGCCACAAGAACGACGTCAACGATGAGGTTGTGGCACGATCTGGCTGTCGCATCAGCATCGAAATGCCCAATTGCAAGAACGGATCAGTAAAGTCCACCACCTCTAGGCGACTTGCAGTCACGGTGATCGGTGCCACAGCCATATCGGCACTCTGAAATCTATCTATCCACCTATCAACACGCACATTTTCTTTTCGTGTTTCCGACTATCAGTTCAACATAACAAGCAGCAAAACGTCAACGAATGGTAGAACAAACGCCTCGCAGTATTTCCCCAATAAGACCTGTCCATTCATCGCTGCCATTGATTCGTTCACCATATTGACCATCTGGGACTATATATAAACTATATTCAAAATTTAAATATTCGGCCAACTTATCCAATAGATCCACACAAAAACCCTCATACTCAACAACACCATTCACCGTTCGTTTCGGCATCACGTAGGGACGTTCCATTATCGAGGTTACTCGCAGAATGCGCTGCTGAAATTGTGTACTTATAGATCAACCAGAATTTTTTATGTTGTAAAGAGCTATTATCTGTCAGTCCTTCTTCTTCCATGAAAAGCTTCGAATGATCCCTTTAAAATTTCAAGGAATGAGATCACATCTGTAGGAACAAATAAAACGCCTTTCTTATCATATTTGCATGAATATATCAATTCAATTTGTGCCAACAAAACATTTCCATATCGACCACTAATGCATCGGTTGATTGATTTTTAAGCGTAAAGTTGTAAGATAAACGCACATTTTCAATGAACATGACAACAAAAAAGAAATAAAGATAGTGATAAATTGATTGAATAGTGAAGAAAAGAATAAACTGTTTTGCGTTCGCGAAGTACATGTTCATGCGTATTTGGTAGCTCTTTATCGTGCATCGACAACTGTCGTTGAGCGTTTGCGGCATCTGATTGCCACGTTCCAGTCTGTGAACGATTATTTTTTGGATCAAAAATTTGGAGGAACAGTAAATGAAATGAAATGAATATTATCATAATGATGATCACTATTATCACCACCAGATTTTATCATTTATTGAATTCTTTTAAATCCCTTTGTTGATTTCTACAGTTACTTTGATTTTGTGAATTAATTTAACTAATGCTGGTTCATCACTACCATTACTACCACTAACAATAAAAACAGTAATAATAATACTGATAATAATGGAGTCCATCACATTGTAGTAATACTAATAATATTTAACATTGTAATGCATCATACATTAACTGGAACACCGTCAATGCCGAGTTCCCAAACGAAAATTTTGGAATCTACACGACGATTGGCTACATCGAAACGTATCGGACCAGTTAGGCCCTGTTTAATCACCTAAAATTGCAATTTAAAATTGAACGCACGAACGCACGTAAACATAATCATAATAATTTAACAACGTAAGGAATAGAAAGTCAAAATGGAATAGGTTCTGATTATATTGGTGAAAATGTTTCATCTTTAGTGAAATGAATAAAAGAATAAATAATAAATAAATGACAAGGCCATCAAATAGTTGAGTTTTATTGAGTGCGTTTTTAATGGACAATCGACGTTCGAATGAATTTGCTGAATATGACCACCATCTGTTGTGATGATAATCAGCCGTTTCTAAACGACAAGATACTAGCACACAATCGAATATTAATGCGAATTCCCTCTGCAATTGATGGAATGCCTTCAATAATAATAATGCAGTGATGATAAGAAGTGTTAATACTGAATGCAATAAGAGTATTAATGAACTGCTCACATACATATGGAGTAAGTTTATGAATGGATTTGGATAGTCTTGATAAATTCACGAAACGTTCATAATAGAAATGCAGTTGAGTTTGTTCATTCAATAAGTTCAACGTCGATTCTTCGTTCCATATTGTTGCTAAACCAATACGCATCATATTATGCGAATATGATTGCATATTGTCATCGATTGTATCCTTCAAAAGATTCAGATCACTCGATAATATTCATCTAAAGCAACACACCTCAATGTACAGACAATCACATCCCCAGCAACAACAACAACAATAATAAGGTGGCAAGAAGAAAGCAGTAAAACCTACGAGTGATGTGATAAGATACCAGTTTCTCAGATTAATCATGCCAAGCATCAAAGCAGCTTGCATGAAACGATGTGTGTTTATCATAGACATATCAATTAATAAACGATTAATTTTTTGCCAACAATTGCTTTGATCGCATATCACACGTAACATTTTACCGGCTCTTAAGAAGCCATAAAATGAGTTATCGTCCACTTCCAATAAAATCACTCGAGTTCGATGTTTTTGCAAAAATTGATGAAATCGACACATCGCTGAATTCAATTCAATTGAACACAATAACATAACAAATGCTACCTTATAGCAAAATAAACAACAATAACGATGATATAACCAATAACAACACAACTTTCTGATTTCGCATATACGAGTACGACTCGTTCCCATTGCCAGTATTCTAAAAGATTCTCTAATAAATGCATATACTCGTTAACTGGAAATAGATTTAACGATGTTGATCGTTTTGGTGCATTTGTTAATGAAGAAGTAAACGACGAAGTATCACACGGCTGCGTATACCAAAAATACTTCAAGAATATAATTCCCAATTCAGCACAAATTCCTTCGATCACTTCTGAGGCGTCCACATTTGGTGGTCCGATAAGGACGCCGATACCCGATTTCGCAATTTCACGTGCTGAGTGATAACGATATGATAAGATAACAACAAATTTTGCGATAAACGAATATTGAATCCAAATGAATATCCTACTATTAATGTTTTACCATATTGAAATCATCAGCAAGATTATAGGCTTTCAAAGTATGATGTTATTGGAAAGGTATATACATATACATATCATCGAGTGAATATCGAAGAGTTAAGCAGTAATCATCTGCTTTTAAATAGATGATCGAGCATGCATTCGAATAGTTGCTGCTCGTGGATCAAAAAAATAGCAACACAACAGCAATGGTCGATATATAAACTCACATTTTTCGGCCAGCAAGTAAGGTTGTGCAGATTGAACGTATATAATACTAGCCTGTTCAATTGAGCAGTTCATGATGTCCTCAGAAAATGGCATCGTCCTACCATCATAAGGATAGCGATTGATCATATGAACAGCTGCTTGAAACGCAGATATCGCATATTCATGATCATTTTCAATCAACAGTATCCCTTAAAAATCAACTTAGTCATTCTGACATAATGATTCAATTAACCCCCTCTCAATCAACTCATTTGCTCTCAACCCTAGACTATCATTCAGATTTATTTGATCGCTGTCAAACTCCAATGGAATAAGAGCGATGTTGAACCGTAAATGTCCCAAAACCAAGGAATTATTTTATGGGAATGAAACGTGCCACTAATAACTTAATGTGATGAGCGTACTAAACTGCATTTTAGGATAACAGCCAACCTAAGCCACAGTTGGGCCATCTTTCTTGATTAAATAAACGACTGAATGTTTGAAAACGAAACGTTTATAAATTTATTCGTAGAGGATGAAACAATTTGAAGAAATTAAACATGCAGACAATGTACGTAAGTTTGCACGCTACTAACCAATTCGAACGGATTTGCAGCGATCGAAAACAATCAAAAGAAGAAGAGTCGGGATGAAGCATGACTGAAATACGACCATGATGAAATAAATCAATGACAATGAAGTTTCTTGCCGAAAGCATCACACAAAATAAACTCGTCGTCTTCAAGCTTTCTTTGAGTATATTCAACCAACTTAACGCATAATCATTAGCGCACTTTTTTTGTTTAAGTCAATAAAACATTTCATCCATTAGTGTTAGCGTTATTCCTCAATAATCCACGCATTTGATTTTAATGGCTTTTCAGATGAATTAATAACTGACTTCACAATTGATTTATCATTTCAAATCAGCTTTTCGATCGAATCTGACATATTATGCTTGCTCGCTGATCTCTATATTGAAGCGATTTTTCATAGACATTCAATTCAATTTGCATATATCTATATTACATCAACATCACCTATAAAGAAACTAGGAAATTTTGTGCTGATAGTCGTTTTGCAATTGAAACGTAACCTTCATTTCAATTCAAAAATTATGCTTTGCGAAAACGTATTTGAATAAAAAGAATTTATTGATAGGCTGAACAAATGAAAAAGTACAATAGCAATAATGATACTATTCATATTTCCAACAAAAACGTATGGAATGATTGAAATGGAGTGATCGGCGTCTAAGTACCGAAAATAGACAGGATGAGTTGAAAAATACATACACGATTGAATGATTGAAAAAGTGAAACAAAATGAAGATACTATGGAATCAACTTTCGCGCACTACTTTGAGCTTACCGAACTTCACATCATCAAATAAATTCTCTCTAAGGAAGCAGAAAATTATAAAATTACTAATAATTCAAATAAATAAATAAGTTTAAAAAAATCTAGACTGATATAAGAGAAAAAAATTATTGAGAATATCGACGAAGCAATCAAAGTAGCAAATAGTACATAAACTAATAACTAATCAGGTTTCATTCGCTCGATCAAGCATAAAAATTTTTGGAACTAGCTTTCAGTCAGTGTTGTTGTTGGTGTCACTGATAATTATTATTCAATTAAACTTCTCAAAATCTCGTTATTGCTTCTCAGAAATCGAGTACAATTGACGCTATTCCGCATTTACACACTGATTATCACAACAGACTCTGGAGAGGAATAAGAGCGCATTAAAATAGAACAACCACCTGTCTATCCATGATCACATAATACAAACGAATAAATATTTGTTTATGATGATTAATAAAATGTATATCAACAGACATCTATGTATAATATTCATATCGAATACTCATTAAGCAGCATTAATTAATCAGTGCATCAACCAAACGTTATTATTCAGTCTCTAACACACATACTTATCACAGTAATTCTGCAATCTTCAAACAACTACACAATTAAGTGATCGAAAATAAAACAAATCGTTTCTCTCAACTAAAAGCTCAAGAACGACCTCCGGCTGCGGCTGTTTGACCTGTTGCTCCACCTCTTGGATAATACTTATCGAGAATTGTCGCCGGAATACGTTTCAACATTTCACGCGGAAAGATTCGTAATAGTTGCCAGCCGATATCCAACGACTCGAAAACGGTTCGATTCTCGTAGTTACCTTGTGAGATGAAGTTCTTCTCGAATTTGGTCAAGAACTCGAGATAAAGTAAATCGTCAGAAGATAACGCCTCTTCACCGACAACAGCCTTCATCGCTTGCACGTCCTTACCGATCGCGTAACATGCATATAATTGATTCGACACATCTGCATGATCCTCACGTGTCATTCCTGCACCAATTGCAGATTTCATAAGACGTGACAGAGATGGTAGCACATTGATTGGTGGATAGATTTGTCGATTATGCAGCTGTCGATCCACGTAGATCTGACCTTCTGTGATGTAACCAGTCAAATCGGGAATTGGATGTGTAATATCTGCAACAATTAACTTCCGTCAAAACCTCCAATCATACTCATGAATCCATCGTTAACATCTCCAAACAAATCATTTCCTATTGCACTTGAACCATTCTCCAATTCGCTACAATTACGCTATATAATACAAATGTCATTAAATTGGTAACCAACCATCGTTAGGCATGGACAAAATTGGAATTTGTGTAATTGAACCATTACGTCCTTCAACACGACCTGCACGCTCGTAGATTGTGGCCAAATCGGTGTACATGTAACCTGGGAAACCACGACGGCCAGGCACCTCTTCGCGTGCTGCAGATACCTTAACAACAAACACTTTTCAATGAAAAGAACAAGTGGCAGAAAATTTAAGATGCAGCTATCCATCTCATAACTGCAATTAGTGAGGTTAACAATCGTCCGAGAATGGCTTTCTTTGAATTATGCAATAAAGTCATTAGATGTATACCTCACGAAGTGCTTCGGCATATGAAGACATATCAGTTAAGACGACCAATACGTGCTTCTCACATTGATAAGCCAAAAATTCAGCGGCTGTTAATGCCAAACGTGGAGTGATAATACGCTCAATCCTTAAACAGAAACAAATAAACGACTGTCACCTAGAATGTCATAATTATTTACATTGAAATGCTCGCATTATTCAATTGCATTATCGGATAACTCCGAAATAGTAAAAATCTAATCTTTAATCCCTTGATAATAACACCCGAATAAACTAATTCACTTACGTTGGATCGTTGGCCAAGTTAAGGAAGAGACAAACGTTCTCCATTGAACCATTCTCTTCGAAATCTTGCTTGAAGAAACGAGCAGTTTCCATATTCACACCCATAGCAGCGAATACTATGGCAAAATTATCTTCTTTACCGTCATGTGGACGATCCGGTAATTTCACCAAACCACCTTGACGCACAATTTGAGCCGCAATCTGAATTTACTCATTCATTTATTCAAATAGCTATCACCTGCTTCTGATGTGCTTTTCAGCACTCCTCAATTATTTTTCAGACTTATAAAATTTTCGAGCTAAAATAAACAGAAGGCAAATGAACAAACTCACTTCGTTATGCGGTAAACCAGCAGCTGAGAATATGGGAATTTTTTGTCCACGAGCAATGGAGTTCATTACATCGATGGCAGATATTCCTGTTTGGATCATCTCTTCGGGATAAATACGTGACCACGGATTAATTGGTTGACCGTTAATATCCAAGAAGTCTTCAGCCAACACTGGTGGACCCTTTAATATCATATCAGTCATGAACTTTCATCACCAAAGAATGCATCACTTCATGCAAAAACAAAAAATCCATTCGCTATTTGCAGCAGTCACGCAACCCACGAGCAAACCTCGAGAAGAACCAAAAAACAAGCAAATGGTACCTTATCAATAGGTTTTCCAGAACCATTGAAAATTCGTCCAAGCATATCCTCAGAAACAGGTGTACGCAAAATATCACCAGTGAACTCGCATATCGTATTCTTTGCATCAATACCAGCCGTACCTTCGAATACCTGCACATTAAACAATTAATAAATTTTAAACGGTTCTCTTCTTGTGGTTCTGTTCAAAAGAAAAGCTTTTTTTAGTTATCTGATGGCACACAAAATGAAAGTGAAATAAGAGCTAACCTGCACTACGGCTTTGTTGCGTGTGATTTCAAGCACTTGTCCCGAACGTTTGGTTCCGTCTGGTAGAGTTAGTTTTACGATTTCGGCATACTGAGGGAATTTCACATCACCAAGAATAACCAGAGGACCATTTACACCAGTCACAGTCTTATACGCTACAATCAACGCAATATCAGTATAAATATAGTAAAGTCTATGTGCAAAATCAAATTGCATAAATTGTGAAAATAAATAATGGAACAAAACGAAAAGCATACTTAAACGTGGATTTGTGCTGTAGTTTCGAATTTTGGCCGTTTTTTGGTCAGTGATTCCTTGATTGACATCAACCGCAGTAGCCACCTTAGCCATCTTCAACCTTAAAGAAGCCGCTTGATGATGATGGAAAGCAATGCTAAGAATCTGCTTCACTCATTTTCCAAAGCCGAACCGCTTTCGTTCATTATTCATCAACAGTACTTTTGCTGATAACGGGCGTTACCATGCCATCAGAGATACTCGTGTGCTCATACGTACCGAAGCGGTAATTTTGTATTTCCGGTTCGTAAAATCAAAACGCATTTCGTTCACATTCGCAGTTGAATATGTTATTTAGTTAGAGCAGAGCAAGAAATGTTCGCACGAACGAAATGCCGTTGTGATTTTACCAACCTGAAATACAACATTACCGTCGAAGCCTATGTGTTTGCCTCATCACTGGGCTAATCGTAAGTCTAAGCTTAAGCATACTCCTGATTTGACTTCGAATTGCATATCTACACATGGGGCAAAGCGGTAATCTCAGCACATGCGAGTAGTGGCACCCGCTATCAGCAAAAATGCCCATAAAGATCTTGAGTCACGTAAATCACATCAAATTCAACACTTGCAAACAATCTCATACATGAAACCTTAACAAAACCCCGAGTAAAACAAGACCACCCGTAATCGTCCATGGTTGAAATCGGTCATAAGTGTTCATTTGATATTTGGTCTTTATTCCTGGACGTAGAGGCCGAACGTGTCGAGACGCACAAAACGCTCAAATCACACTGCTCACACTACAACGCTTTCATTTCTCTCCAGACATTACAAATCGAGCATGTAAGTATGTATCCATAAATGTTTAATATTTGAAGTGAATCGATGTCAGATTGCAAAGAGGAAAAAAAATGGAATGAAGTATGCACTCACGCACTCATTTCCGTTCGAGTATTCGCATAATATTTTACTGATAATTGGAATAAAACTGCTGAATTTTGAACCTCGATAAAATATATAAATTGGTGTTAATGATGAACCCTATAAACTTGTTGATGTATAAAAACCATCGAGGACTTGAGCAAATCTCATTTTGAGCGTACAGCCAATTTCAGAATGGTAACCCTGATTAGTGTGTTACAGGGAAGGAAAGAAGCCGGGGACGAAATTTTTCAGTCGGAATCGAAAATGCGGTCGCCTTCAAAAATGAAAAGAGTTTGGAGGTATTATAAAATCGTATGATTTAGTGATAAAAGTTTAGCCATATCCCAGGAATTAGGCATTATCCTTCGACAACATTTTGATTTGATGATGTGCAGAAAACATATTGATGCCGAGCAAATCTGAGGATACTGGTACCCAGAAAGTGGTACTTCTGATATTCCCATATAAAAGTGGTGTATAAAGGTCAGCTACATTGAGTTTGACGGTACAATGAAACCGCTCAGCTGCCTGAGATACTTTTGAAAATGAAGTTATATATCTAAATTAAGCATTTTCAGTCAACAATATACATCATTTCGATAAATGGGAATCTTTTGAATCTGATGGTGTGTAGAAACCATTTTGATATTTGGCAAACCTGACGATAAGGGTGGCTTGAAAGTAGTACTCCTGATATTCTTGCAGAAGTGTATTTTTGATTAATATAATATACCATTCTTTCCAATAGTCAATTATGTCTCAGTAGCTAGGCGTTATCCTTCAGAAATGACCCAAGACTAAAGAATTTTTAGCAAAAGAATCCTTCTGATTAGAGGATCTTGTAAATCTAATGTTATTTTAAAAAACACCGAACTGCTGAGTTCACATGAAATACAATTTGCTCGAAAGTGGTGCTCGTCATGATGCCATGGTACTGTGTTATTGGTGAACATAGTACTAATTAGCAGACTTTCTTTAGAGCTTAATGATGCTGATAAAATGAGGAGTATTTGCTTACAAATGGATGGCTTGACCTTCGTAAAAACGATTGAATTGGAGCTGAGTGATGGGTGCACGATTTCGAGGACAAAATTGCAGACGTTAGATGTAATTGGAGGCAATTGACAGCGTCATCGATGATGCCGTTCTATCTCCACCAGCAGTTTAAATTCATCGTTTTGAGATCGTTTATTCGATAGCTGCGAGATACAATGCAAGTTTGCCTTTTAACATTCGCTTCAAGTTTATTTCGGAAATTGTTTTTCATTCGATTGTTTATAATCCATGAAACAGTGATAATTTAAAATTATCGAACTGGAAATGATTTCACTCAAAATATATATTGTGCTTATCAAATCTGAATAATAACATGACTTCATCTTAACTGCGTTCAGTCTCATTTCAGTACTGAAAAGCTGTCGAGAAATTATTGACCTATTTTTTATTTTCATCATGAAAAACAATCAAGAAAGGACATAAATCAACGGATGTATTTTATTTTAGGAAATTGAAAGTGCTTGTATTCAATAAGATGCGTGAATATGCTGGTCACAAAATTGAAGTAACAGTCTCATCAAAAGACACAATTGCAACCATCAAAGAGAAGATTCTCGAGAAAACCGAAATACCAATCGCTAATCAGCATATTATCTTCGGAGGTTGGTTGTTTCGTTTTGCAATTTTCTACTCTAGTGATCTTATAACCGATAAGGAAGTGAGTATGACTGGTAAAAACCATTCTATAAATTTATATATAGTTTGAAACAAAATGAAATTATGCCGTTCTTAAATAATAGTTTTCTTTGTGAATAATCTGCTCACTGTTCCGAAGACACTGCGTGAATGGATGGTGTATATACTTGTTTTCATACTGACACTTGATCGTGTTGACGAACTATATTTTCAGTAGAAGCACTCAAAGATCATGAAACGTTAAAAAGCCGAAACATCAAGGATGGATACACCATATATTTGACGCCAACTTATTTGGAATTGTCTGAATTACCAAACCTATGAATATAATTTCAAGAATAAATGTTGAGACTTTTCATCCCACATTACCTCATTTCATTAATACACAAACTTTAACCTAAGGCTAAACCAGCAATTGATTTCGGACAAAGCCAGAATGGTAATGTTAAATAAATATGCCATAAATTTACTAAGTTGACTTCAAGTTGCTTGAAGTAATAATTTCATTGCAGACATATTACTGGATAAGCGGTGAATACTATGGTATTTCTTCAGCTACTGATTGGTTAGCACGAAGTACAGTAAGATCTGTCAATAAGGTTGAGCTTAGTGTATTTATGGGTGACTGCATCTGTTCCATTGACTTCGCATTTGGGTCATAAGTACATTCTTAAATTACTTTGAACTAACGCTAAAAGTTTGGAGAGATACGATGTACTGAAACGAGTGCCGCGAACAACTGAGATACCTTCAGAAAATTAGCTATTTCTCTGAAGGTAAGTAAAATTGCCCGACAAAATATATCCCTTTCTGAAAGTAGAGGATCTGAGGAATCCGATGATGTGGAGAAATCACTGTGTTAATGGGCAAACGTGAGAAGACCAACTGTTTGGAGATGGTGACCCTCATGCTGCAATGCTAATGTATGCATTGATCAATAGAGATACCCTGTATTGAAAGAAACTACTGTTCTAGAGGGTATTCGTCACTATGATCATTCCCTTCAATGGAAACTCGTGATTCACAAATAAGTCTCAGCACGCTCAGAGGCGACCCCACTCCCCAAAGTAAACAAATGCCACAACAGCCAGTAGGAATATCATCAATAATCTTCAATTATCCAACTAAGTTCACCGATTACTAACATCACGAACGTGTCACACGTAAACAATGATAAAACAATGATAAATGTTCTCCGAATACATTACACAGTCCGCATTTCCTAATACAAGCACACAATGGTGAGCCTGCGTACGCATTGCTTAAAAGTCGAACCCGAACGAAGTTTCTTGACCAACTATGCGTTTCAAAATGACGTAGTTGACTTAACTTCAAATAACGTAGTTTGGATGGTTGGGGTAAAAGAAGCCAAATTGCACTTTTGTACGCGCGCG